AACTATGGACTGAAACTTATACCAATTGTGAACTAAATAAACCTTTCCTCCTTTAACTTTCAGTGTTGGGTATTTTATCTCAGCATTGAGAAAAGCAATCAAGACAAGTAATCAAGTACTCAAGACTTTCCCAAAGGTCACATGACTGGTTAGTGGTGAAACTGATGCCCTGCACTCAAGCACAGTGTATCCAGACTACAGATGGTCCAGGGAGAGGTGGACTGAGGTGACTTGCCTGAGCAGACCTCTGTGCTCCAACCCATCGCAGGCTTGTTCCAAATCAGTAACAAGAATGGAGGTCATCTTCTTGCCCATAACTTCTCTCCTCTCCCTCTCCCTTTCCCTGGCCCTCCTCTTCCCTCCTTCCTTCCCTCCCCCTCTCTCTCTCTCCACTGTCTCCATCATCTCCATCTCTGTCTCTATCTCCATCTCTTCCTCTCCCTCATTTTCTTCCTCCCTCTCCTGGTTCCATCCTTAGGAACTGGAACCCCCACCTGCTCGCAATGCCTCACTCACACTCTTTGCCCAAGTTCTCCCACCTACCGAGAGAGGCCTCTGAAGAACAAATACAACAACTGAGATTTTCAGTAGCATCTTCGGGAGCCCAGGGTACACTGGTGACACAGAGTTGGGAAGATGTAAAGAAGCTGTTCTACAGAATCTAGAGTCCTTCAGCTACCCTGAGGCTTCCTACTGAAGGTGTGTAGATTGAAAAGAGGAACCTGGGGGTCTATGTGTTTGTCGTGGTCCTCACCACCTGCAGCATCTTCTATACATGTCCAGGCCTCCTTCTTCTCTTCGGCCCCGAGGCTTGACTGCGCTGTGCCATGGATGGACGGTGGAGGGGCACTGCGATGCGGTTATCTAGCAAGGCTTGGTAATCCTTTATGAGGCTCTTACTCAGGGGCACACTGGGCAGCCAGCCCAGCTTTAGCACCTTCTTCTGGTAATGAGGCAGAGGGTTTGGACAGGGCCAGTTCCTGGCTAGAGCAGTGGGAAGTGCATTGGGCATGAGTGGGAAGCCCTGAGACTCAAACCATCCACCAGCTGATTTGTGCCAGAACCTGTTAGAGAGGGGAGAGAGGTCAAGGGAGAGCGAAAGGCATGGTGGGGAAGGCTGGGAAGAGAGGGTGATCCTGCTTCCCACTACCTGCCTGGGCACCAGGCCGTATGTCAGATGGTCTGTACTGTGTCCTAAGTATGTGTTTCGGCATTAAGCTGCTGAGATCATAAGGTGTAGCTGGCCTTCAACTCGTGGAGACCGTACTTCTCAGTCTTCTGAGTGCTGGGATTACAGGTGTGCGCCACCATTCCTAGTTGCATTCTTACCTAAATTCTAAGTGTCCTTCAGGTTTTACCTTGGCCACAAATATGTGCTCATGGTAAGTCCACTTAATTCAGTGCAAGCCAGTGACTTCCTCCTCCTTGGTCCTTTTAAGTGGAATAGTAGAGTGGCTTAGGAGTATGGGTGTTGAGACAGAGTCTTATTCAGTCATTTATCCTGGGTTCAAACTCATGGCAATCCTCCTGCCCCAGCCTTCAGAGTGCTGAGATTACAGGTGTGAGCCACCACATCTGGTGGTGGTGTGTAAAAAAAAAAAAAAAAAAAAAAAAAAATTGAATAGTTGCAGGGTTTTGCTGCAGCAGATATTCCCATTTGTTGCTGTTAGTTTCTTCAGTGGTTCTCACCCATGAATGAACATTAGAATCACCCTGAGGACCTTTTAAAAGTATCATAGTCCCTTCTCTTTGGACCAGGATAAGCCCTTAAGTTGTGGCTTCAGAGCTGGGTAACTTCAAAATCAAAGTGAAAGGACTACACAGAATGGTAATTCACATACGTAATATAAGAAGGTAGGGCCGGCCAGATAGCTCAGCAGATTAAAGCACCTGCTTAGGCAGATGCAGGGGGCGGGGTTTCTATCTCTGGCCTGCTGTGCTGGCTCCGCCCCTGGGACATGTTGAGATGATGACTGAGACTGGGCGTGGTGGTGCGCACCTGTAATCCCAGTGCTTTGGAGGCTGTAAACAGGAGGATCACTATGAGTCTGATCTGTGTAGTAAGACCCTGTAGACCCTGCACTAAGTACATTAAAAAAAGAGAAGGTGTTCTTTAAGTTACAGGCTTACTTTAACCCATTCAACTTAATGCTCCAAAGTAACTGTAATTTAATGGTAATAATATAGCAAA